CTCAGGTTAATCTTAAATCATGTAAAAGAGATAACATGAAGTACACTTTATAAAGGAGACTTCTTAACCATTAGTTTTGCAAACGCATGAGAATTTCTAAAACACCATCGTCTCGACATTATATAGTTATATATTTAATAGTCTATTTCATGCACTCCCTGACACAGCACCGAAGAAACTACAAAGAATTCAAAATTCTGCAGCCCGCCTTGTGACACGGACACGTCTCCGTGAACATATCACCCCCGTTCTTCGAGACGTACATTGGCTTCCCATTGTACAAAGATGTCGCTTTAAAACTTTAACCTTCCGCTCCTGTGTATTTAAAAGAACTTATTTGTATCAAAACACCGAAAAGTTTAACAAGATCATCAGAAGCTGTCAGACTCAACTTGCCAACTGTGAAGTACAACAGAATTACCTGTTACAATTAGAAATATTGAAAAATATGAGTCCTTTAAATCATCGTCAAAAACGTGTTTATTTAAAGAGTTTACTATCAATTTAAATTTTTAGCAATGTTAGAATAATTTACTTCAACTTCTACCCACAACATTGTAAAGGGCGTTGAGATATTATTTGTATATTGTAATGCGCTGTATAAGAATAAATTAAATATATAATTATATATATATTAAATACAGTTGGTACAATTGAAAGTAGTCCAAGTAATGAAATTGTGTTGATGTTTTTGTGTTTAACGTAATCTATTAATCGCATGTTGATAACGAAAGAAAGATTTATATCTGCTACCCATAATTATTGTCGAAACCACGAGAATTTAATTTAACATTTTATTCTACTAACTACATGTAAATGTCAGTTTAGAAAGAAGTTCCAAACAAGCAGGGTATGCATAAGCCGTTAAATACAACAGTAAAACAAATATTGATCAGCTCCTCGAATGAAAAGTAGTATGATTAGTTATCGCACACTACACTACTTACAGAGAAATTGAGAGATACTTTTGACCTGCATTTGATAATCTCGGGCAGACAGGATACTGACAGATTCACAGCATAGTATGTTATAAGATATGGAGTTTTATTTTAAAAGTGTGAATTTCTACAGTAATTGTACAAAATTCGAAACAATTCTTCTATGTCAGCTTTACACCGCATATGCTACACCGATGAAGTAACCAGCTTGCGAACACGCACAAGAGAAATACGATTTGTAGTATTACGGCATTCGCAGATTGGATTATCTGATGATTTATCCATTTACATTAATATTTATTTAGATTATCTAATCTTATATAAAATCCGTGGCAACGAGTTCAGACATTAATATTAGATATGCAATAAATCTAGACATACTTGTATATCGGTAGTTTTGATTAAATTGATAACATGGATCATTTTAATTCGATTTAAGGTTAGAGTAGTAAAGGCCACGGTGGTTTTGTTAAATTAAGAAAAACTGGGTTTTGTAATGTATTCAATAGAGTTCTTTGTCCACAGATCCGATGTAGACGATTTAAAGACAACCCCCACCCCGGAAGCCGGGGAGGGAGCAGGTTTGGGTTTCAAAAAAGCTTGCAACAACCATAAATAAAAAACATAATTTAACAACTCGATTCTCCCGACATATATATATCGCTATATATTAATTTAGATTATTATCAATAAAATACAGTCCGCGTTCTATATATAACACTGTACAATATAATTAATGATAGATTTAATATAGCTTATAGATTATACTATAACAAAAAGTATATCTTTATTAAGATTATCATATAACAGGATTGGTCAAGCCCGACATGGTTAATTCATCAAAGATTTGATAGTTGATCTACCGTGAAGGACAGATCTTGAAAGGTCAACTGTACATTTAATATTGACGACTTTTTATCGATAGTTTTTTTTTTAATACGTTCGGATCTAGATCAACTATTTTGTTCCTAGTTTCTAGCGAGCTTCGTCAATTTGCGATACTTAGTGGTTTAATTTAATGTGGTTTACCGTCCTTCAGTACAAACCAGGTTATTTCGGGACTAACATATGGTACAATTTTATTTCATTAATTCGGTTGCGAGAAGGGGTCTTTAGCAGTGGAAGGATTCCGGGGGTCATTGAGAAAACCTCACAAGGAGAGACAGGCGACCGTTATACCCCTTGTGACGTAGAAGTATGAGATCGAAACCTCGCCACTTGACTAAATGACAGACCTTATGATCTACAGCGCACGCGTTAGACCATTTGGCCACCAATCCTCCCGTATGGTGGTGCTAGGACCACAAGGTACAAACAAATCAATGCCATCAACCGCCTATATATGTGCATAAGTGCATAATCTCACCCAAGGAGAAAATATTTCTCCTGTCAACTAAAATGAAAATGAAGAATATTCAGTACAACAATTCAAAACTTAAACTTGATCATATGACCTGTATATATATATATCAAATACAGATCATACACATAATAGGGAATCATAACCTACGAATTAAACGTTTACGAATCATTTTATAAGTCGAACTGTATACTAGATTCTATAATTCTAAGAGGAGAGACTTGAATACTTAATCAACCATAAACAGATTGGCTTATATGTGATCATAAATCGTAATCCATTCATTTATTCACAAATCTATTCGCATACTTCACATACATTGGTGTTTCGTGCGCCTAGGAACTGGAAATGAAATGAAATGGGGTTTAACGTCCCATTGTTCTGCTCGACCGGGCTAATGAAGATGGCTAAGGAACTGGGCTCTCGTGACTGTTCGGGACACAGAAATTTCATTCCTTTTTGTTTGCGCACACTACATAAATAATCTGCCACTTCCTTACCGGATGGTTTGGTTTATACCATGGTAACGGATTAAAATTACACCTGGTCAAGACACGGAATCGGTGTAAAGGCTAGAATAGAGGTCAGATCTGAACTCTTCCAAAAAATTATTGTGTAAATGAACAAAGAAACAAAAGTGCAGTTCCAGATAACCTTCTCAGCTGGAAACACAGCAGGGATCGAAAGTCGGTTATTGTAGGGTTGGAGCCATATCCACCTTGTTCCAAAACAAAGCAAGCAATGAGAATGATAAGTTATAAAATATAATTTTGTACCCTTTTCTTTGTGATTGTAAACATTTTATTTTTAATTTCAAGCATCTCTGGACCTTTCATTACCGAAGAATTCATTTTTCTTTACAAAACCTATATATATTACTCCATCTCTAATGAAATCTGTAGATAAAAAGAATGTGTACACACGGTAGCATTCTTCTCTGAGTAAGTAGCGTATAGCGTTGACGGTGGTTTTCTGAGAATGGGCAGCCACGGTGATTCAGTGAGTAAGGTGCGGGTTCACTGGGCTGGACGTCTCGGTTGACAAAGGTCCTCCGGATTTTCCATCGCGGTTTCCCCTTATCAGTGATGCAGGACGGAGGGCCTGACAAGGACAGCTGTCTAGTTGTTCCAATGGGAAGAAACACCGAGGTCCCGCGTACACTTTGGCGTGCACGTAAAAGAACCATTGACACAAGAGTAGGCCGCAGTGCTACTGTCCGGACAAATTTCCCTAATAGTACACTGTATGGCGTATGCCCGTCTTCATTAGCCCAGTCGGTGCAGAAAAGTAGTACGTCGTTAAACCCCATTTCATTTCGTTTCTGAGAATAAAAATGGTACATCCCTGGAAATGCAAACGAGATCATCATTCCGTGAATATCTTTTTATAATAGGTATTTTCTTTGGAATGTAACAAATAGTCCTACTCTCGAAAGAACCCAGCTTGAAGCTAAATGCCCATATTATAAATACACTGCAATGAGGGTACAATCTATTTTCTACATTATTATGTCTATTTTCAAGCAGTGCTTGGTAAAGTCACAATACTTAAAACAGTGTTTAGGCTATTGGTATGTTTGTGTACATCAAGGACAATCGGATGTCAACAATCTGATATCAACATGATTGGGTTAAACGGTACTTTAAAGAGACAAATCATGCATAATGCTTATAGTACAAGCGACAACAATATCGAATATAGTATTGGTGATCAGGCCAACATGGTAATTTATTCTGTTTCGACCTCAAAACGTAACTATACAAGCTACGAAAATTACTAATATTAGTTGAAGTCGGTGTATGTTTACTAATGACTGGCAGATTTGTCTCAGATTTTGTATACAAACTATTTTGACCGTCCCGAAGTAAATAAATTGAAATGAAATGAAATGAAATGGGGTTTAACGTCCTACTGTTCTGCTCCTATACTGGGCTAATGAAGACAGGCATACGCCATACAGTGTGCTATGAGGGAAATTTTGCCCGGGCAGTGGCACTATCGCCTACTCTTAAATCGAATTCCAACTGCCCAGGTACTTTTACGTGCATTCCAATGTATATCCGGGACCTCGGTTTTTCGTCTCATCCGAATGACTAGACAGCTGTCCTTGTCATGCCCTCCGTTCTGCACCACTGACAAGGGGAAACCACGTCGAAAAATACAGATGAACTTTCTCGGCCAATGCAGGGATCGAACACCCGACCTTCAGGCTAGCGAGCCAGCGTCTTAACCACCTAGCCACCGTGGCTCCCCCGAAGTAAATAAGTCCGGTGAAATTTTTGAAGACCTTTAAAGTAGCAGCTGTGTAAAGCTTCTTTAAGATTTCAGTGGGTCTATAAAGTAAATTCGAACTATCGATAAAACATATCAGAACGAAAATTCTAAAAAAAAAAATGGATTAACGTCTTGTATAATCCATTAATCATATTATTTAACTTTCTGAAAGATGTGAGATCATAATGATCCAATTAAAAATCTAATCAGCGATTCATTATTCCCGTATTACATGTATTCATGTAAAACATCCTCATTATATTATATATAATAAGCCAAACAAATCAATGTTTTCTATATAATGATGGTGATTAGGTCTTCATTAGATCGATATATCACGCATACATGTACACTCTTTTACATGGGATTAATCACCCATGTGAATCTTTGAAATCAGTGCATCTACAACAAAATTAAACGAAACTCACCTCAAGGAACTCGATTAAGATATCCAGCACGAAAAAAGTTATCCACACTTTAATGCGCGTAATTCTATTCGTTGATGAAAGAAGAAATCTATGACCTATGTGAAGAGCGGTCTACTTTCCAACAAGTATCAAGCTGATGCTCTTGTAGAGATATCTTAGAAGTTCGGCCAGCTCCGCGATGTCCTATTAATCTTTATCATTTGATGGCACTTCCAGATATAAAATATCCTTAAAGACCTTTCTTGATTACTTTTCCTCTCGCACAGACAATTCGTTATATTGTTTCGCGGTTAGTTGACAAGGTCTTATGCTATCTATAACTTACATAATAATCTATCAACTGCTGTACGGGCTTACCAGGATACCTTTCAATTGATAACACCCTCTGAAGTTATACTATCTGTATACCACTCGTGACCATATAAATACTTAATGACAATAACCCAAATTTCAGTCAACTGTCCTCTTTTGCTGTGTGAATTAGAATTATTGGATTCGGTTTTCCAATTCCAATGTAGAAAATATACAATTTGATTTTGGCACAGTTCCACAATTGCTTGTTACTCTTGGCATTGAACTGGAATCAAATCTTCTAACAATAAGATATCCGAATATTGATTAGAAAAGCGAAAAACGTGTCACTTTGTCACCAATAAGATCTAGTTTTCTCCCACAAAATATGATTAATATATCCAATTGGCTTTTACAGGTTAGAAACACACTTTGGTCGTGACGATTGCCAATTTGGGGTTATCGTATTATCGCCGTTACCGCTGTCACTCAATATAAAAACCCCTGTCTTTCAAAATAAAATCTTGACTTATGGTGGTCGGAAGAGTAAGTATGTTTGTTTCACACTCGACGTGCGATATACGTAAAGATCCCTAAACGCTTAATCGATACAGGCAGTAAATTTTAGACCCGTCTTGAATGTGCACTCACATTTACACAGTAGGTTGGTTCTGTCTATTACAAGACGAATTCAATTGTCCAGAGTCCATCAGAAACGGGCAACGACCATTAAACGAATTGTTTCAACACGTTTAGCGGAATTCACTTTGAGAGAATGTTGTCTGTTGCTAAAGACCTTTCGGATCACCTCTAATCCTTGTCTAGAGAATGGACGCTAATATGGGCTAATTCGACATAGATTAGTCGACTGCAGAAAAACGTTCTGTTTTTTTACTTAAAAATAATCTAATCTGTTAAGCCGTCTTATGGACAACTTTAAACATTCACCGCTCTTAATTTATTTATTAATGTTCAATAAAGACGTGTTTCTTCTCTTCTGTCTCCCACTAATACCAGAAGCTAATCTTCATAGCCCTTGAAAGAAAGAAAAAAAAATCTATGTAATAAAATAATATATTTCCTGTAATCAGTGTGAAAGTTTACACTAGAAAGCACACAAGAGAGAGATAATGTTATTTAATTGAGAAAACAAAAGCCAATGAAAATAACTGAAACTCAAATTATCCACTAAACTTGTGTTTCGTTAGAAAACTTAAGAACTTACGTTTCTTTTAACAATTCACATCTTAAGACACGTGAATACCACACATTCTGTTTACCGAGAAGACTTCTATGTTTGTTTATTCCAATTTTTGCCAGAACCCGTAAAGGCAAGGCTCTGGCGTCTGAAGCTTAAACTGGACTCGTGTAATTACTTAGTCCAGCTCGCTATCATGAAGAGCAGACGACGTTTTGCTATATATAACAACCAATACCAGTCGGTAGTTCCGTATCATCAAAAACAGAGATCCGCGCGCTACGAGTATTACTTTGATATATTATGGTTAAAATTCTATTGAGTTGCACACGGGTTTCGATCATACATAACTACCTTCAACCCGTGCTGTGAAGGGCCAACTGTGAGACCTCGTTTCCTCGACGAATAATAATGTACTTAACTGCCTGACAACACAAACCCTATGTAATGAACGATATAACAATAATAATCAGCCGACAATGAGAGTAATACCTTATACATTAAGGTTTTCAAATTTGAGAATTTGTCTTAATAAAAGCCAAGAAGATTTAATAAAAAGTCGAATATTACAATGGACCTATTCTTATACTAGGTGTGTAGACCTTTATATGCAAGTGAAAGTAATAAAAACTCTTTAATTCAAAACCCATAGATGTAAGTAGTAAGATAGATCTATATATCACGTGATAGCCATCTTGAAGGCAGAAATACAATACCTCGCAGTGTATTTTTATACTGAGGTACACATAGTATTAGAATCGGGGTGGGTATGCAGAAAAGTATAAGGCACACAAAATGATTGACCCTCGACATATGGCTACACGCTTCAGGTGAGATGTGACGTCAGAGTGTAATGTTATATTTTGGCAGTAGTCGTGGTTGTTGTTTTTTTCTACCACACAAAACCCGAAGCAAGAATAAAGTTAATTCAAACCCAAACCCTCTACAAAGGGATTACATAGCTTTTGTTTGTCGAAGTCTTCATATCGAACTATATGGATCTTTAAATACACACCGTCCATGGATTTAAAGCGCACTATGTCTATGAGTGAATTAGCCATTGTTACATGTATTACGTTAAAAACCAGCGTATTACCCTTGTTATTTAACAACTATATATAAAGGGGGTATTATATATATCATAAATATTAAGTATACCAATTCAAACCTTTTATTTTATTTGCAATCAATGGCAGTCTTGTCTAAATTTATGTCTATGACGGCGGGTTGGATGGGTCTGTCATTGAATCAACTGGCATGGTTTCGATTCCCCAGTTGTAACGTCTGTCATTGAATCAACTGGCATGGTTTCGATTCCCCAGTTGTAACGTGGCAAGGAGTAGGGTCGCCTGTCCAACCTCATGGGTTTTCTCTGGGTCCCCCGGTTTCCTCCCACTACTAAAGACCCCTACGCGCAAGCGAATTATTGGAATAAAATTGAACGATGTTTTAGTCCCAAAATGACCTAGTTTGTGTTGAGTGGACGTTAAACTCCATTTCTCTCTCTCACTATGTCTATGACCTTCGAACTTCGGTAAATAAACCAACTTGCTATCGGTGTCTATAAATAAAAAACATGCAAAAACATTATATAGAACACACGTCATTTGTATGATCGTGTGCTATTATTGCATTAGGTATTTCTATTGGGATAGCTGTGATCAGTTGCCAGGAAACCCATTGTTCATTCAATATAAACTATAATAAAGTGTGTTGTGTATGATTTGTGCATAGTCATAGAATAGCTGAAAACCTTTGAGACTCTGAATAATGAAACCAGTTTTGCCAAGAGAGATTTACAAAGGCCAAAACTTTTAATGCCCATTTGAATGATGAAATTTACAAATAACGACGAACACGTACTTTCCGCTTTTTAAAGGAGCTAAATCGCTATTCCCTGACACCTAGAAATGGACACAAATGTATTGTGAATGTATATAAACTGATTTACATTCAGTGATTTCTGTAATTTCTAATCAGTTATGTTCGGCGAAATACGCGAATAGTCCAAATTGAAAGGGTGTTCCAGTCTACACCGATAGCATCTCCATTGTTTAGCCTCGAAAACATTTTAAAATTTTCATTTTGTTTTAAATATTGGATATCAGAAGCCATTCATTTCACGGTTAAGATAACAACATCAATGTTGATTTAAACTGACCAATAAGACGTGGTTGCAATGTCGAAGACTGGATGATACGGAGTTGTTCAGTGGTTTTCCGAATTATAATGCTACTGGTTCTATAGTATCTATAGTAATACATGGTTGCATCTCGATTCTTTATTCTGATATCGTTTACAGTTGTTTGTGATAAAGAAAAGGTAAGTGGGTGGGGGTAATTATTAAAAATTAAATACACACCAAAAATGTTAGAATAATTAACATGTACTATTCAAATGCTAAATTTGTTCAAACACGTTTTCTACTGACGCTTTTCAGTGCACGGAGAGAGAGAGAGAGAGAGAGAGGGGGGGGGATCCACATGGCGCAAACTACATGTAGGTAATTTCAGGACTATTTCAATATTTCGTTTAGTGGGAGGAAATCAGACGAGGTTGGGCAAGCGATCCTTATCACGTACAGCCATGGTATCGAAACTACAACACTTGACTCAATGCCAGATCTTACGATCACTCGCCACCCCTATTCATTTCATGGAAAACTATGTTCCTATGAGATGTATTTAGGAGTCGGAATATTGAGGAATGTATTTACTGACGGTTATAAACCAGGATTCAAAGGTTTTTGTCTATGAATTACCAGTATACTCATTAATCTAAAAAAAATGATATCATCGTTTGCCTGAATTTTGGTAGAATTTGGGGTTTTGGACTAAGGAAGAATAATAGCATGTTTATAAAGCGCCGAATCAACAAAACATGCCCATAGCGTATAAATTTGGAAATTTATAACGAAGGGCTGTTTGAATTTATATACACATCTATCCATGTAAAGCCCCCAATGCAATACAACAATAACATGTAAGAATAAACCTGAAACCGATTTCACATTTACACTGTCTGTTTGTTGTAATTAACTTATACCAAATGTAAGACATTGCCAATTGGGAAAATTCTAAGAATACAGGCTTACAAACTAATCATTTTCAAAGAACAGCTATGTAAACTAGCTTTGATATAAGAAGCGGGTTAAATAGGGCTACATGGTTTGGTGGTTTGATGAGATAACTAGTTTCTCGTATATTTTTGATAAGAACGTTGCAAACAGACGTATATTGTTTTTGCGATAACAATAGTTTACCCCCAGTCCGTACGTTGCAGATCATTAGGATCTTGGTCTCTCCATTAGCAAGTTCGAATCTTGACAGGGATTTTCAAGCATGCCTCTCAGCGTTGCGCTGTTGAACTAAAAAGGAAAGCTTTCTTACTAGAAACGTGTGCATGTTGAGTGTACGTAAAACAATTGAAATCCGAAGAAAAGCGGGTGAAAATGCCATAGTCTGGGCAAAATATTCTCCTCCTTAAAACTGCAGCAAACGCGACCACAGTAAAACAAAATATATGTTAGTCTCAAAACGTCAAATTATCATATCGACTAGGCGTTAAAACCCATCCCTCTCTCATTTTCCCCCACTCTTTGTTAGATTTTTGATCATCGTTTTATTTGTTTTCAATGTAATACCCTATGTTGATTACATTGCTAATTATACACATTAGCTTAAGATTATGGTAAGTGATGCAGAACCAATAACAGAATACAATTCGTTGATGCTTTAGATAAAATAAACATGGATGCTGCCGAACCTCCGCTATGTACATAGTATTATGAAGTCGTATCAAGTGTTCCACAAAGGGTGTACACAGACTGACGCGTGTACGACACACTTCATACGGTTCTTTCTGGTTTATGCCCTCTTAAAGATGAACGAAAACGACATGCATAGTATGGTTCTGTCTGTCTTAATATTCTCCGATAAATTACCTCAATAAAAACTCTGCGGGTAATGATGATTAATGACATAATTACAAAGCTAACAAACCAAATTATGGACGCATTATAAATTGCAATAAGTCTATCGTGGAGGATATCGTACCAGAGGCGCGGGGGAGGGAGGCATTTTGTCGAATTTGATTAGTTGATATTGTTTAATATAATATAATTTAATATAATTGCAGTTAATTCGCCTTCAAATAATGACAAATCTAAGACGCCGTCTTTTGTAATTGTCTTCTTCTAAAAAAAACCATGAAGGATTTCAATAAAACATGGTTAGTTGGTTGTTTGCATGTTACTGATTCGAATTTATTTAAATGGACTTGTTTGAATTCATATGCCAAACGAATTATCCTTAGATGAAAAAGGTGCACGTTGATTTAAAGTGGGGTGACCAAGAACAGATACATTGTCTTGGAAGTCACTTCAAGCGGACAAACGTGTTTGATATTTTGGACGTATTCTTAGCTCTATGAAATTCAATCACATATTTAGGTATATTATCTGTTCAAATGATGTTGCTCGACATTGAGCATTTCGTAGAACTGTTTTAATGCTGCAGTAAACAATTGTATAATGCTATTAATCTATAGTTTCATATTTCTGTAAAACATGCATACAATATCCAATGAGCTATTGCTATTATCAAAAGCTCGGTTGTTTGTTGTTCACAAAATGTCATTTTAATTTACAACAAGGAAATTATATCATAGTTTTATGACACTATTCTAAGAGGTTTTTGCCAATAACTCTTGACATACGGTACCACGCGTTGGTGGAATACATGATGTTTTTGTAGGGAATTGAGCGTAAATCGTAATTGATTCTTGTTCGAGACTTGCTATATAGAAAATAAACCTGTTAATCTGTCAACACCTGGAAATGTTGCGAACATTAATCTACACCTGTATTCTTCTAACAAGTATAAGTGCTAAAAAGTTAATTGTCTTTCATACTAGCTGGTAACTTTAAAATACAGACGTAAAATTGTTCCGCGAAGTAAATTTCTTGGATGCAAACAATTCGACAGTACATTCCTTCTGTTCTTGGGTTACATTCTCATCATAAACAGGGTCTTCAGGTGCAGTAATTGACTTTAAAACCGAGGTCACGTCTTACGGTCACGCACGTAATTGAACGTAGTTCACCGTAGTGCCACTATGGTCAACTAGGTTGAAGTAAGGTTATGTCGGTTCCTGCTTTACCCTACGTCACGTTAGTTGACTCTAGTTGACAGTACGGAACAGTAATGTGAACGTACTTCAAACGTAATTTAACCCTATTAGTTGTCTCTAGTTGACTCTAGTTGACCATAGTGTTAAGCGTGGTGCCATCTACGACCAACTACGGTCAACAACGGTAAACACTACAGTCTAGTAGGATCAATTACGGTGAACTAGGGCGAACTAGGGTCAAGTACCTCCAAAC